ACGCATAAAAACTCATAACACAGCATACAGCTTTATGTTTCTGAACGCTTTTCGTAATCAACGAAAAGGAGACAGAGAGTGAGAAGCTGGTATTGCCTTGCACGTGCTATAGCTGGACTGAGCGAAAATGTGGTTCTTAGGATCTATGAAACCAACTGAATCTTTAAACTCTGTTTGTATTTACTGTGCTGCAGTACTGCGGTCTCTGCAATTTATCGTGCAGCCTCAGATACTGTGCTTTGCTTTCAATTACTATACTGCATTAACATTTAGCATACTACATTACAGTTACCACAAGACCTTTATAGCGAGAGTTCGAATAATCTTAAATACTCTCGAAAGGTACCTGATCGGTGTTAAGTTCAAGTTCTGCAACCAGCGCATCAATTGCTAACGCCGGATCCGGAATGCGAAGGGGTTGCGGTCGAACAATAGACGACTCCGGTAAGCTCGATACCGAACTACGCATTGCGACAATATGTGGTGGCTGTACGGGTGTAAATGCGCCGCTGTTTCGGGCTGACAGTCGCACTTCCGCTGACCGAACACTACCCAGAGTATTGTATGGATCCTAGATCACATACAGGTCTATTTTCAGTTCACTTATCATTGCCAGAATGAAACAATTAGGGTCGACTGGAAAACTAACGATTTGCTCAAATGCTTTACATTGTTGTTTCTCAAAAACTGGTAAAATTAATTCGTTCTGGGAGAAGCATGCTTCACATCGTTTTTTTTTTTCGCCTTTTCTCTTGAACGGGTGTAATGAAGCTTATCAATTAAATGGGTGAAAGCACGTTTCTCAAGATCTATACAAATTTTGAAGAGTTCATAGTAATGCTCCCCAAAAACTGCTTGAGAAAACAAGCAAAAAACGCTCTGAGCCTTGAAAAGAAAAGCATGTGAAATCACCCATGTTTAAAAAGAGCACAGACAGAACCAGGATTTCCCCGAAATAGGTGCCTATGAAAAAGACCCCTTGTCAAAAACTGTTATAGACCGAGAGGGAATGGAACTATCTCCTTCACAAATGCGGCGTGCTACTCAATACATTATCAGACCTTGTTCCGCAGGATTTTCCTGGTGAGCGCAACTGATCTGCCCTTCGAGGCAAAATCTCTTTTCTCTTGGTTACTGCCCATAGGCAGTATATTTCTTTTTCTTTCGATCAGCTTTTTTTGCTGGCATTTCGCAGATTTTGCTGGCACATCAGATCCGTGACAGTTGTAATGATTTTTCTACGCAGTAAGTGGACCTATCTGTTACACTGGGGCCATAAGTATAACACACTCTAAAGACGACGAAACACAAAAACGTTTGCTGAAAACTTGTCACACAAAGGCAACAGGGTGTCGAGGCAAGCATTTTTAGCTCAAGTAATTTTGTAGAGCAGAAAGGTACCTGAGGAATGGACCTCCAAGATAATGTATCGCCATTCTGCTTTTCCAGTGGTTCTCGGCTGTGTGAGGAGATCCTTTGTCGTGGATAGCAGTTACCATTCAGATCATCGTAACTATTTGCCCTAAATGCAGGGTTAAACATTTGTATTTAAAAGAAGTTGGTTCACTCATATACGCAAAAGGTGCACTACACTATTCTGAGGTACGTTATTCTGCTGTGCTTTTCTCAGAAGATAATTAGACATCTGTGATGAAGGTAGTCTCCTGCACAGTTCAAAACACTAGTGCAACAGCCTTCGACGATGCTAACATGTATTCACTTACTGGAAATAGTCAGGCTTGA